CCCCCCTTCAATAATATGATTTGTGAAACCTCTATGTATTTTCAACTTTTCATACCACAGATATGCATGCCAACCAAACTTAATGTAATGCCCTTCTAAGTCTAAAATATGTGAATTCTTTAATGACAACCACTCCTTTAACCAACATAGGCAGGATGCCTCATAATAAAGTCTCAGATCTGGCGGGGGGGGGAAGCTCCTCTTTCATTAGCATCTATCAGTATCTTATATTTTATTCTTGGTTTTTTCCCTTGCCAAGATATATATCGAAATATCCTTTTACCTTTCAAGAAGCATTCCACCTTGCCAATCACTGGAGCTGATTGAAATAAAAAGCATTCTTGGTAAAACACTCATTTTAATAGTTGACACTTTATCCAGGATAAACCACAATGTTGAAACAAGCTTCATTGGCCCCAGCCAGTGAGGCACAGGGTGAAACTGCCTCAACTCTCACCGTGGGAGCTGAGGCACTTTCACACCAGGGCCTCATGGGCTGGGGCCAATGCAGCTGGCCCCAGCCTGCTGCTCAGCTGGGGGACAGAAAGGCTCCTGCCCCTACCGGAGCCAGCCCTAGTGTCCCTGCCGCTCACACGCAAGCAGCAGGGACCTTGGGGTTCCTTCCTAAGGCTCCCTTCGCCAGTGCAGGGCGGCCACCACTACCCAAAGACGGACCAGGTGTCACCTTCACCTGTGGCTGCCTCTTCCTCCTGGGGTGGTTGCTCACCCCCGGAGGAAAGATGAAGCCAACCCTCCCGGGCGAAGTCCACAAGCATCAGAGAGCCCTCGCACCACCTGGCTAAGCCTGCCCAACCCCATGCCAAGGCTGCTGTGGATGAGGCAAGTGCATGAGCCTGCCTGGCACGACCTGGAGGTGAGGTGGGGTCTCCTTTAACTTTCTCTTTTGTGGGGGTGCAAGGGAGAAGTATGACAGAGCCCACACCTCCCCAGCTGGGGAGCCGTGATCCTGATACCCCTCTCCTGCAAACAGGAGCCAGATCAGGGCTCTCTCAGCTGGGGAGTGTGAGCCAGTGGCGGGTTGGGGGCTCTGTAAAACTGCTTGGCCGAGGCAAGGGCAGCCATGAGCTCCTCAGCTGAGCAGTTTAAAGAAGCAGAGGGAGGAACAAGCTGTGCCTTGCCGGAGCAGCTGTTTTCTCGCTCTGCCGGTATGAGGGCAGACTGCTATGGTGGTTTCACTCAGTGGTATATTGGTGAAGCTGTCGCCGCTCTTGAGTCCCTCTGCCTCCAGCACCCGGCTGCAGCTTGTTTCTCCCTCAGCAGCAGAAGGACTCGGAAGACGGCGGTTTCACCTGCAATATACCGCCAAGTGAAGCTGTCATCAAGATCTGCCCCTCATACAACTCCTGGGCGATATATCAATATATCACCCAGGCCTACCTCCCCACTCCCACATTGTGTTTGGTCCAATAGAACAAGAGGAACTTCAATAACAAGCAAAGACTCAGAGAGAGCCCAGCTTGATTGCCAACATCATCTCCTATCATGTCTGGTTTCAGGGTAAATTCTTGGTGGGCTTATAATGGTGACCAATTGGCTGGTCAGTTGGTTGCGTATTATTTGGTCACAGTCAAATAGAGGCTTCATTCAGATGAACGTCTTCCATCTTTTTCTGGAATATCCCAAATAAGCAATCATCTTAAACACTTCCTCCTCTCTTCTGGAGCTTCAAGTCTGCATTGCAAAGCATGGTTTGATTGTGACTTGTAGGGATAGCTCAAACCAGAGTTTGTGTGTTCAGATTTAATAAGAAACTAAGGTTTGATCAAAACAAGAAATAATGAGATCTCATTTCCTTCTCGTCCTGCATAAAGAGCTTCATTCAAGGAAATGAGATCTCATTTGTGGCTTACAACCCACCAAGTTATGGTTCGGTTTATTGTCTTTATGCAGCGACTGTTACAAATGCCCTTGTGCAGCCAACCTTTTCTATTTCATCATACGTGTTTCTTTTGTTTGGAAAAGCTGCAGTTCATATACATGTGCAAATATTTGAAGCTGGCTGTACTTTGTAAACGTTCCAGAATACACAAGTTACTTAACCAAAATTGGAACCTTTATATTCGGAGATTTAAGTTCCTTACTTGTTAGATAGTAGGTTCATTCTCTGCAAATAGCAGTTTCATTCCCATTGTAGAGTTAACAGTAGAGAAGGTGATTCCCCACTCCAATATTTTTTGTATGTTTGTGGTTACCTGACCTGTGCTTGACCTAATGATTTCACAGTTGAACTTCAGTAGCTTTTGGTTGTAAAAGTTAGTTCTGTTCTTTAAATCTTGTTTTAAAAAATTAGGTTCAGAACAGCAGCGATTTTGTTTACTAGGCAGATGACATGGCAGGATCTGTGTTTCCTGAGCATAGCTCTTGGCTCATGCAGCAGAAATTGAGCTAGGGAGTAATAAATAGTCTATAATGGATTGAGCCAACAGTTGCTGAGCTCTCTGGGATCAGGTAAATATAGTTTAATTAGATTTGAGCCTGTCATCTTGAGAACTTTTCATATATTTTTCCACCAAAGAGGATAAAGCGTTAGTGCAATTACTAGTTGGTAGTTTATATTTTTAATAAACATAAAAACGGGTGAACTGGTGCAACTTTTCCCTGTATCTTCTGAAACAAAGAGTTCAAGATTCTGGTGGTTCTATTATATTTATTAAGCACAATTACTAGCCACTTTTCCAGGGTTCAGCAGAATACAAAACCTGCAGTGGATTAAAAACAACAAACAGTCTAAAACCACCAAAAGAATAACCAGTCAAGCAAAAGGCAAGCTGAAAGAGATGTGCTTTACCTTCTTCTGGGAAACAGAGTGGGAAATTATGCACCTTAGAGGAGATATCATTCTGCAGACTTGGGGCAATAAACATGAATGCCAAGGCAATAAACATGAATGTAGCTGCAGCAGTTTTCACTTTGTGTGGCGATTGCCCTGAATTTCTGTGTGAGTTTATCAAAATTGGCATAGTGACAATGCCAGAGAGGTGGTCTCTGAAGCCTTACAAATTCTAGTAAAATAGTGCAAACTTTGAAATAGCTGAGCTGCTTTCGATGCTAACATTGACTGTTAGGTGATAGGCAGCTCTTGCCCATCATTTCAGATGTGAGTGGTCACAGGAGTGAAGCCCAAGTCATTGGCATGAAGTGGATAAGGTACAGGAGCCAAAAGACATGTCTCAGATAGGCAGAGGTACCATCCAGATGAGCTCAGGTGTGTCTCGGGTGCCTTTGGAGCAGACAACAAGAAATAGTAAGGGCAAGCTGACATAGCAGGGACATGTAAGACTGCGGTGCATGCACAAGGAAATGGTGCACAGTCGATGGAAGGAGGTATGGAATGACTGCATTGTCATCTCCAGGGTTTGGGAGGGTGACATAAGCCCTGCCTCAGTTGGCCTATGTCATCCTTACCACTTTCTATTCACGAGGCCTCTTTCTGTAGAGATAATGACATGATACACTGTAGTTTTTCTAATAGTATCTTAGGGGTACAGTAAACCCATTCGTCAAAATAACATAAGTGGACCAGAAGACAAATTCTGGTATCTAAGCGAGAACAGATTTTTATAGCTTTTAAGTGGCTCCTTTTGTACTGTTAAAAGTTTTGTTTTTGATGAAGTTTTTAATATCTGACTCTATTGTTTTTAATATTCTATTGGAAGGCGCCCAGAGTGGCTGGGGAAATGAAGCCAGATGGGCAGGGTATAAATTATAATTATTATTATTATTATTATTATTATTATTATTATTATTATTATTGGTCTGATGACTAGATAGAAATAAACAAATCTGAGCTGATCTATCAGGTGTGTGTGTGTATATATACGCACATACACACACGTATATATATATATAAACTTTCAAACTGGGAGTAGCGTTTTGCAGAATGCTAAAACTGCCACTCCTCTCTATAGGGTGGTAAGGTGTAGTGAGTGTAATATGAATTGCAAAGTCTGCATTTCAGCTACACATTAACTTGGCATTAGGCCATTGTTTTATGCGGAATGAGTAGCTGGATTTGGAACTCTAAATTTGTTCTGGAGGTCATGTGAGGCTTTGGAGTATTTTCTTCATGAACATGTCAAGAAAAACATAAATAGGTAATTTTTATCCACTGAATTAAATGTGGATGCCGTTCTTGTTTAAAGAGCTCTGTGTAAACACTAGAACTCCCATTTCCAAAAGAGATTGCAGGATGCATCGTCTAGTCTTGCATTGCAGGGTTTTGGACCTTGGGGTCCCTTCCATTTCTACAAAAAAAATTTTATTCTCTGATTCTATCTGTATGAAAAAATAAAGCTAAAATCACTTTAAAAGTTGCTCATATGGGTAGATGTTTGAAGTGGGTGGATGGAAAGTAATTAAAGTTAAATCTAAATACAAGAATGTTAAAGCTACAGTTAATCATGTCTTAAAATTGAATAACAAATTGAGAACAACCATGGTTTGGTATTATGTATGGACTGTACTGTAATTCTGAACCAAGGTTCGGCCATCATCATGCTGGTGTTCCCTCCTTTCCCTCTTGCATCTCTTCACATGTCCAAATTTCCTGTCTGACTTCCTGATTTGGGCAAACCATAGTCTGTCGTTACATCTGAGGCATTTGCAGTTGATCACCAAACCATAGCTGACAGCTGATCAGTTCTGCAAAATCTCCGTCCCTAGTTGTCTCTAACCGCATGGGCTGCAATGAGCAAACATTTTGATTGCTGGCTTACTCTGCGTGTGGGCTTTGAGCAGGATTTTGGGCTCAAGCATGAGAGAAAAAGGAGCAGGTGTGAAGTGGAAAGCAACAACATTGAAAAGATACTATGTGGTCATAGGTAATATGTTGATTTAAACCACCTTAATTTAAACCCATCCACTCTTGGAATACATGTTTTGAACATGGAAAACAAATATTTTAGCCTAGAAAAAAACAAAGTTATTTTTTTTTTGAAGTACAACTTGCTTTAAAACAAATTTCCCCTCTTCTGTTGCAGATCTTTCACTATTGAGGTTCATCAATGCAGAGCTTACAAGGGGTTACTTCCTGGAGCATAATGAAGCGAAGTACACAGAAAGGAGGGAACGAGTGTACACGTGCATGCGAATACCAAGAGAGCTGGAAAAGGTAAACTACTTTCTCAGCGTTCTACTTGGGCTGATAAATTCAAATTCTGGTTTTATTAAAAACAGAACAGAACTTTCTAAACATGCACTTTTGAATAGGTTTTCAATTACAAAAAATAATTTTAAAAATTGCTTTTCCCCTGTACACGGTCTGAGGGCTGTGTCTTATGTATGGAGTCCAAAAGCATCACTTTGTCTTTTGTATGGTGGTACCATAATTGAATGTGTAGGCTTGTGTCCAAAGGGTGTGTGGACTGAAGAGAACAGCATGTGCAGCCAGAGCTTCACTTGTTGTTTTCTCTGCAGCAGCCCCACTGCCAAAGAGAAAAGCAGTAGCTCAATTTAAAAAGTGGCTTGCCCCTGGCAAAAAAGCCAGCAGATGCCGGTCATTATGAGTGGATCGTGTTTCAGGCTCCGAGACACACTAATGGGAACCCCTTCGTAAATGGTTTATCTGTAAACTTATTTCCATGGGTAAACCTTATGTAGGTGCTATAAACCTCAATTCTATTCTAAAAGATGCTGAGCAAAAACAATCACAACACTGCATTAATCCTACATCATCCTTTCTGAAATGCTAGAGTTAGATGCTGAGCAAGATGGACCAATGGTCTGACTCTGTTTAAGGCATCTTCCTATTTTCCCATGTTGCTGCTTCAGGACGTTTGTGGGGGTTTTTCATGTGTGCTTTATTTTAAGTTTTTGAGTTTCTGCAGAAATGAGGCTGCATTTTAATGTTGTATTTTAATCTTGTTTTTTAAGTTGTATTTCAATCAATTGTTTTATATCTGGTGTTAGCTACCCTGAGCCCGGTCTTGGCTGGGGATGGTAGGGTATAAATAAAATTTATTATTATTATTAAACAACAACTATAAAGTTGTTAACGGTTGGCAGGATTCAGGTAAGGAGTCCCACTAGCAGATGCCTGAATAAGGAGTTCCACGCGCCCAACAGGGCTTCCCACCTCTTCCCACTGCATCTCCCCCAAACAGTTGGGAGAACCCCCAAAAAGTACATTGAGGGGGGCAGATAGTTTTATCTAACAAGCTGAGCTCCCTGAACTATTATATTTTTTCAGTGTGGTGAGCTTCTTTGAAGACTCCAAAGCAGACTACGAAATGCCCCATAAGAATCTACTTAGTTTTCTCACTGAAACAGTGGGACTTGAACTTAATATTGGCTGGTGGGAATAAAATAGGAATACATTGGTGGGATTCTTTTTTCAAATATAACTTTTACACATTGGAATTAAGTATTAATATGTTTATCTAATTTAATCAATCTTACTGGGTTTCTAGAAAACCTTTTAAAGTGATAACTCAGAAGTCATTTTAAAGATGATTTAACAGTACTGTACACAATTCCATACTATATATAGTTAACATATAACATGTGAACCATAAACTAATTATTTTCACCCTCCTTATCTTCAGGAAATATTTTCCACATCTATTTAATACGAATGGTCTTGCCATATGTTCCAGGCTAAAACACACCTTCAGTTCACATGGGACATTGGCCAGGCCCATGAGACCTCATTGTTACTCTGCATCAACTAAGAAGGTGTATTAACCTAGGAAGGTGCCTACTATATGGATGGCTTGTATGGGATGTCAACAGCAGAAAAGCTGTATTTGATTTCTTATATTTCTCATTGAGAAATCCTAGGATTCCCTAATTCACAAACTGAAAAATACTGGTTACAGATAGGTAGCCGTGTTGGTCTGCCATAGTCAAAACAAAAAAATCCTTCCAGTAGCACCTTAAAGACCAACTAAGTTAGTTCTTGGTATGAGCTTTCGTGTGCATGCACACTTCTTCAGATACACAGTTTTTTTTGTTTTGAAAAATACTGGTGTGTGCAAAGCTGAACATTTTTTCATAGATTGTTCCATATGAGGGACAACTTTCAAAATTAAAAGAACTTCTGCAAAAGCTGCCTGTCTCTACTGACTGTAGTCACCATGATGTGAAAGGAAGGTCAGGGCTGATTATCTCAAATTGTGTCCAGGAATAGGTCATCTATTGAGGAAAGATTGGACTCACTGAGCCATGAATGTTTGCAAACTTTGACTGATTCTTGCAGTGCAGACATTTTCTTGAACACTTTCCAAGTGCACAGTGTATTGTTCCATAAAGTTTCCCAGACTAAACAAATAGTGCTTCATAACATCATGACCACTACTTTACTGGCATGGTGTCACACATTTAGGTTTAGGGAAATTGTGAAAAAATAGTTGTTCTTCCAAACCTTTAGAAAGAATTAGGTTATTCTGTTGTTGGCTGATGTTGGTTTTGTGGGGATTTCTGCATTCTGTATTTGTGACAGTTTTAATAAGGTCTTTGGTGTGTAAGTGCTTTCTGTGTATTACTTTTGGGTAACGGTAAGGGTGATTTTATAGACTTAGAATTGTGGTGCTGATCAGCATGGAAATCTTTAAAGTAACTGTTTTTACTAAGATTTCTCTTTCCTCTTACTCTCTAGTTGATGATTTTTGGGATTTTTTTGTGCCTGGATGCTTTTCTCTATGTGTTCACACTCCTCCCATTGAGAGTTTTTCTGGCAATGTTCAGGTTCATCACATTACCTTGTTATGGCTTGCGGTAAGTTCCTTTATTTCTCTTACTTTGTTGATCTAAATATACTTTAATTGGCCTATTTAACTTTGTCAGTCTTAAGGCTTGAGCTGGTTTGAAATTGCAAACAGTTTCATGCTGAAAAGCAAACAAAAAGTAATCCTAACACTTAACATTCATTTTTGAGCCTCACCCAGTTGTGGTTTTGAATAGCAGTTAGCTCAAAAATTCTACGTGCTCTCCCAGAATTTGGTGTTAAGGGCATGCCAGGAACCTTATTTTCTAGGTTTTGTTTTACTAAGTTATAATGATTTTCCTAAAAGGACCAAAACACAAAAGAACTCTTAGCTGCACAGCACAACTCTCTCCCTCCCTCTCTCTCCTCATGCTCACTGCACACCCTCCAAATCTGTTCTGTGGGTTCTTCCAACCCTCTGAAGCAGATCTGCGGAGGGCACAGGGGCACATGGAGATCAGAGAGAAGGGGAAGTTTCAGTGCACCAACAGAAATCCTTGTGCTAATTGAACTACTTTGTTGAATACTGCCCATGTCTTTTTTTTAGCTACCGAATTTGTAGCTTGCAGGTGGATAGCAACAACAACTATTTATTTATACCCCGCCCATCTGGCTGGGTTTCCCCAGCCACTCCGGGCAGCTTCCAACAAAATATTAAAATGCAATAGCCCGTCAAGCATTAAAAGCTTCTCTAAACAGGGCTGCCTACAGATGTCTTCTAAAAGTCTAGTAGTTGTTGTTCTCTTTGACATCTGGTGGGAGGGTGTTCCACAGGGCGGGCGCCACTGCCTGGTTCCCTGTAACTTGGCTTCTCACAGTGAGGGAACCGCCAGAAGGCTCTCGGTGCTGGACCTCAGTGGACCTCAGGATGTTACTCTGGTATATACTCTTTATTTAAATGTAAGTGTTAAAGCTTATGAATTTTACCCCATTATTTAAATTCCTGCAGGGTAATTTTTGTCAAGAACCATTCAGGAGAATGCTACAGGATAGCCCTCTTAGTTCCAAGGATCATTTAGCATCTCTGATAATGTAGAATAATAGGATTATAAAATAAACCCATTCAAATACCTCTAAATACTGGTAGCAATATTTATTTAACATTAGGCTAAATCATAATGCAGAGTGATGTGAGTTAGTTGTTATAAGCCTCAGGCTCATATACTCACACCTCCTCTGACAAGGTAAGTAGTAATAGTTTCTGCTTAACAACAGCTTGTCAACTCATCCAGACATGATCAAATGGTAGTTAATTTTAACTATAGTTTCTTTGAAACAAGCCAGCTTGAAAACATTGAGAGATGTGCTGGCCATCTTATTAACTGTCCTGTCTGTAGAAAGACCATACTATATATTGCCCACTTAATAAATTAATCATCTTACCGATAAACATTCACATTCTTCATGATACAATTGGAATGTACCATGTATCCCATGCCCGGTGTGCTTGTACTCAGTTGTTAGTTAATTTTATTGTTGCTGTTGTTCTTAAGAACAGTTGTAGGGGACTGGAAAAAAACCTGTTACTGAAGTCAGAAGCTAAGACTTCAGCATATCCAGCTTCTTTGAAAGGCTTGAGTACAATCCAGAAACATCAAAATTGGTATCAGTTCCCCATTGACTTCATTGAGTTTGTCAGTGCAAAGAATCAGGTTATGTGCTCCTTTTTTAGAATGAAATGTCCCTTTTGAACTGTGCTGCAAATACATTTTTGATGCTGTATAATTTGCAACTTGTTTAATAAATCCTTTAATTGGGTCATTTTATTCAGCACTTAATTCCACAATGCACTATAAATTTTGTCTTCCACGGTTAAAAAATGGCTGTTTTCAAGTTTCTTGATTATTGCATGTTTTTAACAGTGAAAATATTGCTGTAGAAAAATATATGTAGGCCTGTTAACAAATGACATTCTGCGGAATAAAGTACTGAAAAAATTAGATTTAAGATCATATTCCAGTATTATGTGGGCATTGGTTTGTTTGAGCTGTTTTAAAGGACTTCCTGTAGACACAACATCATATTCCATTCTATGTAAAAACAAAAAGTGCTCCTCCCTTCATTCTGGTTGTTTTTTTTCAAGATCTCAGCAGAAAGACTAAATATCCTATATCTCCAGCCTTTGTTTACACTCCATTTATTCTAGTCTCTTAGAAATTATTTAAATGGGATTCTATTCCCCCATTCTTTATTGCTCTGAAAGTATAGCAGTCCTTTTCTTTTGTGAGGTTAATCCTCATCCACGTTCTCATGATTCATGTAAAGTGCAAATATTGCATATAGCTGTGTTTCTGCATCCAGACTCTTGGACTAGATAAAAACAGAATAAGGCGATTTCTTCATAGCTAAGATTATTTCCTGTTCTTTCGTACTTGTGCATCCTAGGGGGGAGGCGGGTTCTTTCAAGACTGCCAGATTAATTTTGGATTGTTTGAGCAAGATGTTTAGCTAACAGGGTTAATTACTTTTTTTAAAAAAAGAAAATATTTATATTAAGATTTGTACTTCTGTAGTCATGCAATGAAGACTTACTGGTATCTTCTGATGCCTAAGAATCCTGAGTATTTCCAGGTGAACAGTTTCAGAGTGTCAGTCGCGCTGCCTCAGTACACCCAACTTCTGCAAGCCAAATGAGGCTGTGTCACTCATTGCTGGTCCAGATAGCAGATCCGGGTCTAGCAAAGCCTGGGGCCCGAGGTAGCACTTGGAACATTGCCCAAAAGAACAGCAGTCATGCAGGAAAAGCCAAGTTAGGTGTTATTCCATCACTCCCACAGCTGATGTAGGGCTGCAGCATTAAATCAAGCTTGGGGTAGCCTTCCTCCTAGAAGGGGACCTTTTAAGCAAAGCTTTGTTCATAACTTAAATATTTATGTTGTGCCCTATGTGACGGGCTCAGCACAGATTACGGCAGTTTTGTCAAAGGTAAATTTATCGCTGTCCAGGGCACATTCTGCTAAATACAGCAGTAACTTTTGCCACAAATTGAGCCTTTGTTGGTAACCCGAAAATAGTGGATTTCCACCGCCATATCTTTTATTTCTTTTGGAGAAATACATACTTTCTCCTCCATTAAGATTACGCTCCCTGCTGTTTCAAACTTATCACATTTTAAGTAATTTGTGACTACATGTTCTGCCAAGCTTACAGCGTGATCCCAAAGGCATAAATTCATGTAACTCATTTTGTGGATCAATTTGTGTTCACTAACAAATAAATATATGCACTGTTGTATTCCCCTTATATGAGACCATAGGGCTTTCAGTCTTTTGGTAGATAATATGTACACCATCGACGGATTTAATTCCACGAAATAGTAATACCAGCTTTTTAGAAATACAGGCTTTCTTCTCTGTTTCTTTTTTCTTTTGTCTCATATTGGAAGTTTGACAATAGCAGATTTGATCTAATTCCTTTTTGCTGAGTTAAATTTTTGATTATCCCAAAATTCTTAATTAGGCAGATATGATTCATTCCATTCATCTCAAAGAGAATAACACTCTTTTCCTGCTTCAATCTGTATGTGCTACATGAGGGAAAATAAAGTTTTCAATCACTTTCCCTCTTTTCCATGATGGTCAACGTACCTAGTGTAGCAACATTACAACCTTCTTTCTCTCTCTTTCTCTTTTATTTCTTGTAAATCAGACTGAAGGGAAGAGCACTTTCACTTCCTTTATAGGATGGAATATGATGTCACATGGGACTCCTTCATGGTGAGTATATATCCTGATTTTTCTTCTAAAATATCAGCTAAAATGATTTCTCCCCATAACTTGTAAACTTGTATGTCATGTTGTTAAAAAGCCAGCATCACATTATTAACATCACACTTCTGTTCATAAATTTTGCTGGGTTGTATTCAACTATTTCCTGACCAAAGTAGACCCAGGGATGAGACAAATTAGAGAAAACCAAATGCTACCTACCTGTTGCAGTATCATTTATTTTGAAAATTATTTAGGAAGGTAATGAAATGAATTGTTAAGGAGTACATTTTCACATTAAATCTAAAATGAGATTGTCCGGTCAATTTTAAGAGACGCCATGCAATTTTGCCTAAAAATCTTAATAGTCGAATTTCCATGAATAGGAGCTGTCAAATGAATTGTTATCCTAGGCTTGTAAATGACCACTAGTCAAGTTAACTGTGGCAAGTGAAAAATCAACTCCAGAGACCAGGCAGGAAAATTTTTGATTCTTTTTTTTCTTTCACATGAGCCACAAACAATTGCGGGGAGGACTAATAGCATTTTTGTGTGTGAGTAGTAAACTTTGTGAATGCTATGGGTTTGTTTCAAAATATTCCATATTAGCTACTTATGAAAGATAAATATCACTGTGCAAGTGGAACTCTATTCACTTAATAGGGCTTTTTTACCGTCTTTTCCCCACAACAGTCCCCTTTGTCCATGAAAAGCCACTCATGAGGGTTTTGCCCCCCTGAGACTAGTACTGGACACGACAAAGGGGGCTGCTATAGAAGGAGGAAGCCCTCAGTAATTGAAGGACCATCTTGCCTGCAATTCCCACAAGAGCACCTCTGTATTCAACAAATAGTTCAGATGGAAGCTGTATCTAAAGCAGTTTTAATTTAAAAAATGATGTGCAGGGCATATCAAATGCTGTTCATACTGTAGGCCTTGCTTTACTGCATAATAAAGTCTCAGCTTGGCTTAATAACTGTTAACAACCAGGATAATAAGCTAGGATCAGGATTATCTGGGTGCTTAAACAGGAATTAGGGATGCGGGTGGCGCTGTGGGTTAAACCGCAGAGCCTAGGACTTGCCGATCAGAAGGTCGGCGGTTCGAATCCCCACGATGGGGTGAGCTCCCGTTGCTCAGTCCCTGCTCCTGCCAACCTAGCAGTTCGAAAGCACGTCAAAGTGCAAGTAGATCAATAGGTACCGCTCCGGCGGGAAGGTAAACGGCGTTTCCATGCGCTGCTCTGGTTCGCCAGAAGCGGCTTAGTCCTGCTGGCCACATGACCTGGAAGCTGTATGCTGGCTCCCTCGGCCAATAAAGCGAGATGAGCGTCGCAACCTCAGAGTCGGCCACGACTGGACCTAACGGTCAGGAGTCCTTTTACCTTTAAACAGGAATTAAGACAGATTTCCCTGGTTTGGACAAAGGAGGGAAGTCTGGCTTAATCTAAAACAGGGATCAAATGCCAAAACTGGTATGAAAAGAAGGGTTTGTGGGTTGGAGCATTCATTTCTGGATTCGTAAACCATGGTTTATGAAAGAAAGCTTATCTTCAACAGTGCCGAGTACCCTGCCCAGATGTGACTTTTACTTTCTCCCCCTCTCATACTCTCTCATGTACACAAACAAAAAGTCAGTAATGTGCATGCTAAGATACAGGGATGAATGAAAACAATAGATACTAAAATATCTCATGAAAAGTACCTCACCCATTCAATTTTAAGATAAATTTCTTTATGGAAAGTGTTTTGAAATCTTATCAATCATCGTGCCATTTCTGATTTCGCCTTGTTTGTTTTGAGACAGCTCTCACCGAGGCCTAAGGATGAGGTTGGTGTTCATTTTTCTTCTTCTTAGCATGCTATCTGTGCGCATGTAGTTTTTGCTGTTGATCAAGCTACAAGCAAACACATTACGGAAGTTTAGCTTCTTTTAAAAGTTTAGCTTCTTTTAAATAATGCTTCTTACACAAAATGCATGCTTTGAAGTAGCTTGGCTCTCTTAAGTGCATCTGAGTGATGCCTGCGTTTCCAAATGGGTCTCATTCACATACTACATTTTTTGGAGTGCTCTTAAAAACTTAGGTTATAACTGAAAACAGTGGCCTGGATTCCATTAAGCCAGCGCAAGGGTTCCTGCTGGTGCAGTGGCGCTTCTCTCCTTCCCTCTTGCGCTTCCCCAAATGTGCTCCTGGAGAGTCAGGAGAATCTGAGAAGAGATGAGGGGAAGGAGGGTTGGTTTTTTTTAGCATAAATGAAGGAACAATTGGAAGAGTGTAATGTGAAATTCCACCCAATTTGTGAGTCACCTGGGTAAGGGGAAGCCAATGTGGTGCCCTACAAATATTATTGGACTACAACTCCCATTGGGACGCGGGTGGCGCTGTGGGTTAAACCACAGAGCCTAGGACTTGCTGATCAGAAGGTCGGCGGTTCGAATCCCCGCGACGGGGTGAGCTCCTGTTTCTCGGTCCCTGCTCCTGCCAACCTAGCAGTTCGAAAGCACGTCAAAGTGCAAGTAGATAAATAGGTACCACTCTGGCAGGAAGGTAAACGGGGTTTCCGTGCGCTGCTCTGGTTCGCCAGAAGCGGCTTAGTCATGCTGGCCACAAGACCCGGAAGCTGTATGCCTGCTCCCTCGGCCAATAAAGTGAGGTGAGCGCCGCAACCCCAGAGTCGGCCACGACTGGACCTAATGGTCAGGGGTCCCTTTACCTTTACAACTCCTGTTGCCTCATGGCAGCATGTTGCTTGATCAGGGATGATGGGAATTGTAGTCCAGTAACATCTGAAGGGCTACTCCTGATCCAGCTATTATACTTGGCGCGCTGCCAAGTGAGGCAGCTGTAGTGGTTTGGAGTTACTCGTGCGTAAACCGACCCCGTTTGGGTGCTAGGTTGCCTGGTTAAATCCTTCGGACTGCACAGCCCATCTCCGCTTGACTGCTTCAGTCACTGGCAGAATCTGTCTGTGGGCGTTTCTTAAACCTCTGCCAGCATAAAAGCTGTTTGACACCTAATCGTCTCCGCCTCTCATTGCGCGGGAGTCTCCTGCGCAGGGTGGGCGTGGGTAGCGGAGTGCCTGGGCTCTCTTCACTGACTTCCAGGGAAGAATCTCGGAGCCCTTCCACCTCCTCCTCCCCTTGCTCTCCTGGACTCTTGGTGTAACGCGTATTTCCTTCTCCTTCCACCGAGCTGAGTCTCCCCCTTGTGCTGGGACCTTCACCTGCAGAGTCTGAGACCCTCTCCTTCTCCCGTGTCTCTGATGTCAGTTCCCTGACAGCAGCCTTTGTGTGTAAAGTATTTATTGACACATACAAGCAAAGCAGGAAACACTTCTGTTGACCCTAGGTACGTTCAGCGGAAGGCATGTTTCAGAAGTAGTTTTAGGATGTGCAGTGTTGCAGAATTTTGAGAACAACTCTTCATAGGATAATTGTTTGACATAGGAGAATTCAGTGGTTCAAAAAGGGTATGGCAGGAGAGGATGGCAAGTGTGGCAGGAAGATTCAAGAACAATCAAATAAACATTTAAACATTTCTGTGTAGTATGGATAAACAACAGAAGCAGTATCCACTCCTCTCTTCAAGAGCATTGGCTGTTCTACGACTTATTCTTGTGAACAATGATTTTCTTCTGACAAATATGAAAGTTCAGAAAAGAGAAAGTCTTTGTGTCATGAGGGAGATGAGCATTTGTCATAAATTTGTCATAGATTAGACACAATATAAATGAGATTACTCGGCAAAAACAAGCTCACACCTCTCATTGAGTTTGCATACATATTTAAGAGAGGCTCGTTTATATTTTGGAAATGATTCCTGTTCTTATGTAGCTGCATAAGAACATAAGCTGCATAAGAAGATACGGAGCAGTATTATAAAATCTAGTACTGCTAGGAGTTGTTTCTTACTATTTTTCAATGTATTTTTATCAATAAAAAAGTCAATGTGGCACAATCAATTTTTTATTCTGAAAGTGTGGCCCTGAGAAAAGTTTGAGAACCACTGGGCTTATCCCGTGACGTATGACCCTGAAGCTTTTTCCGTACAGTGGTACCTTGGGTTTGCAACCGCTTTGGATTACAACCATTTTCGATTACAACCATGTCAAACCCAGAAGTGTGTGTCCCTTTTTTTGGATTACAACCCATTGGGGGGGGGGCATTGGCAAAAGTGCGCCTTGGGTTACCATCTTTTTTGGTTTACAACTGGACCTCCGGAACGGATTATGGTTGTAAACCAAGGTACTACTGTACAGGCGTAAGGTATGCTCGTGTTAATCTTGTTTTTGGTCATCATTGCCTATGTAGGTGTTTTTCTTAACCAGCAGATGGAGTCAGTACTTTGATTATGTGAAACAGGTTCAGAATTTACAGTGCATAATAAAGGTAGCTCTTAACTGCAATCTGTCTGGAATGCTATCTTTACTCTTTGGCAAATTCTGATATACATTACAAAGCTTCTTTGATATGTACCAATCTGACAAACACCAGTTTTTTAAAGTGTTGTGCTCAGGTAGAAAAGACCTTGCAGATTTTATAGAAATGGCTCACATTTGTCTAGGAACAATTTGAGTTGAATATCCATTGGTCACTCTCCTTTGCGTGCGCTAGTTGCTGTTAATCAGTAACCAGGTAGGTTGGACTTTTGTTAATTTTTGGAGATTTGTGGTAGAGATTGGAGCCCACCTAAATGTGATAGTAGCAACTTTGTGTGTGTGAACACAATCTACCCTAATCACAGAGAAGAATGGAGGGCTTAAAATGAAAAAGACATCAGGAAGGGTGTGGCAGACTCCTTCATAAGCCTGCCCACAAATTAACCTCTCCAGAATCTTCTCTGCAAGTAATTTTGCCTTAGCTACGTTAACTTCCAATATTAGAGCTCAGCTGAGAATAAGTGCACTTGGGGAGAGTAATTGTGGCAAAGTAAGATGGAGAAAGAATTTTGCTCCCATTTTGGTTGAAGGAAGGAAGGGTTTAGTACAGTTAAAATCAGACTAACCACTCGCCCTTGTCTAGGTGATTGGGGCTATACTATGTTGTGTCTAGTTTAACTCTTAGAAGAGCTTGACTTTGTGTTATGCTTGTAACCTGAAAATGCTCAGGAGAAAATAGGAAGCCAGCGTGAACCTGGGAGCACCCACTGTCATTCAGAACACTAACAAAAACTTCTAAATTGTCAATAAAAGGTCCTAAAGCTTGAAAACATTTTCTGTAATTTATTTGAGTTTGGACTGAAACAAGAGTTATTCTATACAAGGATCTGAGATTATAGCAATTCTTGTGTGCTACAGGCTAATCTTACTTTGGAGTAATTTTGAGCATTTAGAGAAAAAATAATTAATCACATGTTTATGCCTCTGAATATTTTGTAAAATTACTATTTCAGTAAATCTTGGCTTTACAAAACATTTTTTTACCCATATGTAACCAGAGTCAGATTTCAGTGTTTAATTATTCTTCATCAAAATGTATTCACACATCTTCTGAGTTAATGCTGACAGTATAATATACTTTTGATAGATTGTGTAGCTGCCCTGTTATCAGTATGGTCCGTTTTCTTCTATAGTTCAGGCAATTTAAAGCACATGATGGCCACATTCAGACAATTGTACCTCAAGTTCGATAAAGCTAGATATGAATTGTCATCTTGCCTGTGCGTATATCCCCCTTTCTACATTGCCTGATTGCAATGTAAGATGCCCTCAAGTAATGAAGTATATGTTGTTTTGCTGTTAAACCAAATGAACTTCATTTTCCATTTCAGCCAAACCTTGTTCCATCTTCAAAGCAATCTTGAATCTTGACTCATGGTTTTGTAGTTGGTTTAAAATTCTGGCTTGTTACTTAATCAGTAACCACAGTCCCTCTGTTGAAGCCACATGGTTTTCCTCAAGAGTTCAACTTTTACAGTTTCCCAAAAGAAATGGAGGAAGAAGTTTTAAAAATTAGGAAACCACAAACCAACTCACATTAATTTAATTTGGTTTAATCTGTAGAAGACAAACAGCAAAATGTGCAGATTTTTTTAAAAATCTCTGCATTACTTCATGTTCTCCTTAATAAAACAATTAATTTCCAAAGCTTTTTGCCTACAAATGTCCCTACATTTCTTTGAGGATTCCAAACACAAAGCCATAAAAATGCCACAAACAAATTTCTGTTAAGTGTCTGTTTGCTGATTGCATGTCCATCTCACGAAATAAACCTACATTTTTGTTTTAAAATCCAGAATAAATTACTGTTAGGAACAGACAGGAGTCTCAGTGAGCAGAGCAGGCAGGTGGGGAGAAGGATCCAGGGGGATTGGGCAGTGGTTTGTGGGATTCTGTGCCACCTGTAAAGTAATCTAATCTAAAGTAATCTAAGGTTAGATTAAAGGTTGCAAGGTGGGGCTGCCACTGAAGACAGTTCGGATAGTTCATCCGGTACAGAATTTAGCGGCCAGGTTGCTCATGGGGGCAAGACTGTCTGGGCAGATTACACCAAGTCTGGTCTAGCTTCACTGCTTTGCCAATTAGTTAATTTAATTAATAGTAATAGTAATAGACTATTCTGGGTTACTTCTTGGAATGATGATTTTTTTGAACTCAAAAAAAGGAGATATTCTGCTTTCAGCAAAACAGGTTGCCTTCTCTCCTCTTGCAAATTACCGTATTTTTCTCTCTATAAGACCATAAGACACACCTAGTTTTTGGAGGAGGAAAACAAGAAAAAAAATATTCTGAACCTCAGAAGCCAGGACAGCAAGAGGGATCGCTGCGCAGTGAAAGCAGCAATCCCTCTTGCTGTTCTGGCTTCTGGGATAGCTGCGCAGCCTGCATTCGCTCCATAAGACGCACACACATTTCCCCTTACTTTTTAGGAGGGAAAAAGTGAGTCTTATAGAGCAAAAAATACGGTACTTTGAGTATCGTTTTTAAGTCCTGAGTTAAGGAGTTAGGTATGAATCATTAGTTTTAGAATGACTGGGGGCAAAACCAGCAGCAATTTAAGCATTTGTTGTTAAAATAGAAAACCTACCATTCAGTACAAATGCTTTGCGTTTAATAGCTCTGGTGCTTTTTTTATGTACTTTTGAAAAACATATTTAATATGTGGCTATTGTTTACAATTGTTACTATTTGTTTTGTGTACTTTCTATATTTCAGTGATAGACGCTTGCTGCAGCCCGCTCAGGTGTGTGATATTTTCAAAGGAGTTATATTGCTAATCTGCTACTTCATGATGCACTATGTTGACTATTCCATGATGTACCACCTGATCAGAGGACAGTCTGTCATTAAACTCTACATCATCTATAATATGCTTGAGGTAAGCAAATGGCCATCAGAACTGTCAAAACATGCTTCCTTCCTGAATATTCCAGATGGAACAATTTCAAAGTTGGTAAAAGAATTATGGTAATTCTGTAATATATTTTCTGCCATGTTATGGGACAAAGATCCATTTTTCTTCAACAATGATAAGCAATAAGTCGTATTGTGGATGCTATAGTTTTTTTTAGTATTTGTAAGCAGCTAAGTTTGTAATGGGTTTTAAAAGAGCAACTCTCACAAAAGTGTGGTGTATATTTAACACAGTAATAGATATAGTCCCAACCAATTTTAGGAGTTTTATAAAAAATGGTAGGTATCTCAAGAATTACTTCACATGTGTCTCAAAAGTTGGACATGTTTGAAGAAACTTAAGACTTTGTTTTCTATGAATAGTAGACCTACATGTGAAAAAGCAGGCTGCTTTTCAAAGTCCCTTGACTTTGAAAACAACTAATTTGCCATTAATAGCGCCATCCAAGAGTTCTTGAAGGGAGGAAGGGATAAAAATAAAATAATTAAAGCAAGCAGAAGAATAGTATAGCACTTGAGGAGGCAACTACATGTGCATAAGTGGGGTTTTTTAAAAATCCTTTTCAGCTCTGCTATTATTTATGTTTTGAAATATTTCAAAATATTTCAGAAGCATCACCAAATACAGTTTTATCCCAGAGCAATGCCCTTTCATGTGAATGGAAATACTCCTGTGTGTGCAAAGCAGACCTTTAGATCCAGGACTTTGGTTTTGATCCTGAGATCTGTCTGGAGAAAAAGGTTAGCAAAGTGTGACTTTCCTGCCCCATTTCCCCCCAGCAGCTATGGACTGTAGTCTCTGTGGAATGGTGTGGGCTGAGGGACTAGGAAGATTTTAGAAAATGAGGCGGATGAACCTTCTGCAGAGCTGGTCTTTTACTTGGAAATGGGATGGAGATGAAAGAGAGCATTCTCTAATGAAAGAGAGTCCACCACCTTCCAAGGCACTGTAGGTTGCCATATCTTGAAGAGCAAAAAAGAGGACAGCCCAAGCTGCTGCCAGCCTGAGGAGGTGCGTGGGGCTGCTGCTGTGCTGGTGCACCTCTTTCCTTGGCTTGGGCTGGCAGCAGCTGCGCAATGCAGAGCAGCCGAAGCCCGAGCCGCTACCAGCCCAAGCGGAGGCAGGACCCCAGCACCTACCTGATCTTCGCTGTAATAGCTTCGCTCTGCTGTGGTGCTTCCACTTCTGGGACACAGTACCCTCCCAATCATGCACATGGCCCCTCCAAAAAACCAACACACACACACCCCATTTATTTATTTTTTAAAAACCCCAAACCCAGACATTTCCTTTATAATGTAAAAATCCTTTTTTTTAATAATATTTATTGCAACAATTTAAACACTTACAAAAAAAAGAGCAAAGAAAAAACAATACATTACATTACAATACAAAGACACTACATAACACTAAAAACTAACAAGACAAAACAAAAACAATTTAAAAACACATCAAAAGAAGAAAAAAAGAGGGGGGGAAATTTCAATATCTTGTCTTTCTTTCACATATTTCCATGACCTCCTCACGCCTCCCTTTTTGTTAATTATTATTTTGTTAATTATTTCAGCAATTCCTTTCCATCTTCCCCTGTTTTTTGTCCTATAATTATCTTAACACATTTTAACCTTATTTTTCCATTAATACTCTATGAATCTATTTGTACTTAATTCCTTATAACCTTTCTACTGAAGCCATATCACTTCATTCCAACGTTCGTCTAACATTCATTAATTTTACAATATTTCTGTAAATAGTCTTTAAACTTTTTCCAATCTTCTTCCACCGATTTTTCCAATCTTCTTCCACCGATATAACGTAAAAATCTACCTCGATGGGCATGTTGGCCCCAAAAAAGAGGACACATCCAGGTTTTTCTGGATGTACGGCACCTCTAGAGGTAGTCAGCTGTTACCATCAGAAAGTTCTTCCTGATATTTATTCAGATTCTCTTTTGTTGCAACTTGAAGCCATTGGTTCAGGTCCTAACCTTTGCTGCTTTCTGTTTGAAGAGGGCTATCTTCTCTCAGTGTCCTCTTCTCCAGGCTAAACATTAAGACCCTTGATCATTTTGCTCGTGCTCCTCTCCATATATTCCGGCTTGTCAATATCCTCCTTAAATTGTGGCACCCAGAACTGGACTCCAGGTGTGGTCTGACCAAAGCAGAATAGAGTGGTACTATTACCGTACTTTTCGCACCATAACACGCAGTTTTTTCCCCCTAAAAGGTAAAGGGAAATGTGTGTGCGTGTTATGGAGCGAATGCAGGCAGGAGGAGCCGCTCTTGCTGGCTGTTCGGCAGCCTCTCTTCCTCCGCTTGGCTCGCTGAGAAGCAGGCAACAGCTGAGCAACAGCTGAGTGTCGGGAGACAGCCTCTCTCCCTCCTGTCTGCCTGCTCTATGGCTTTTTGGCGAGGTGGGAGAAGGGAGGCAGCTTGGAAGCCGGCAAGAGCTGCCTGCAGCGTGTAAAAGCCAAGGTGGGGAAAGGGAGACAGCCTCTCTTTCTCAGTGTCTGCCTGCTCTATGGCTCTCCCTTACACACATGTAAGTGGCTCTTACTCTGCTTTCTTTACAATGAGCTGGAAGGAGGGACAAAGAGGGCATCCCCTTCCGTCCCTCCCCCAGCACCTCACCGGTAAATTCAAACAAAGCGGCTTACAAGGCTCGTGTCCCTGCGTCTCCTCTTTTTGCTTCGGTTCGAGGCAAGGCAGCTGCACAAATGTGAGCTCCCCCTCTCTCTTCCTTCCCTCCCTCCCTCCCTCTTCCAACTTCAAAAAATATTGGGGGGGGGGCAGGTACAGGTAAGCCCCATCTCACAGACTGCAATGATCTCAAGACAAAGTGCATGCACACTGGTACCTTATATGAATGGCAATGCCCATCAGCATGGGGGGAGGATGACTCCCTCAAATATTTAATGGAGGGGGTGAAGGCACCTAGGCCTATAGGAGTTGGCTGCTTTGCCTAGGACAAGTGTGAGCTCCCCCCCCCCCTCTTCCTTCATCACTGTATTGGAGATACCATACATTACTGACAGTTCCTTCATTCACGTGGTTACAAAGACGGATCCACATGGATCCTCAGGATTTTTGCACTGGGTCACCCCAAATTCACCATCAGATCACATAGCATGTCCATGGCTACAGCTTGCACCAAAAAAATCACGCACCCACTGTTGCCTGGGGCCGCAGTGGTGCAAAAACGTGGTTACAAAGCACGGATCCACATGGAACCTCAGGATTTTTGCATTGGCCTACCCCAAACTCACCGTCAGATCACATGTCTGTGGCCACAGCATGAACCACAAAAATCATACATCCACTGTTTTGTTTAGAATATTTTTTTTTCTTGTTTTCCTCCTCTAAAAACTATGTGCGTGTTATGGTTGGGAGCGTGTTATAGAGCGAAAAATACGGTACTTTCCTTGATCTGGACACTATACTTCTTTTGATGCAGCCTAGAATAGCATTAGCCTTTTTGCTGCTGCATCACACTGTTGATTCATTTAAGCCTGTGGTCTGCTAAGACCCCTAAATCGTTTTCACATATACTACTGTCAAGCCAGGTGTCCCATCTTATATTTGTGCAACGGATTATTCCTTCCTAAGTGTAGAACCTTACATTTGTCCCTATTGAAATTCATATCGGCCCAGTTCTCCAACATGTTTAGTACGAGAGAGGGACAAAAACTTCTTCCTGTCTACTTTCTCTACATCATGCATGATATTATGCATCTCTATCACGTCTCCATTTACTTGGCTTATTTCTAAACTAAAAAGTCCCTTGTAGGGGAGTTGCTCCATCCCCTTGATTCTTCGGTTAACTTTTTGAGATGTGGCAATACAGTATTCCAAGTGTGGTCTTGCCATAGATTCTTGCGACAGCATTATGACACTGGCATTTTCGTTTTTGATCCCTTTCTTAATGATCCCAAATAATGATCCCTTTCAGCCAGTTAGAAGAGATGTTTTTGAAGCTCATCTCAAACCCTTTGGTTCTCACCACCCTAAACAATTTGGTATCATCAGCAAACATGGCTACCTCACTGCTCATTCCAACACTAAATCATTAATGGGTTATTTAAAAAGCACAGGTCCAAGTTCCAATTATTGGGAGAACTTCAGTTTCTATATCCCTCCATTGGGAAAACTCCATTTTTTCCCTACCCTTTGCCTTCTGTTTCTTAACCAGTTACTAATAATCCACAGGAGAACCTCTCTTCTATGACTGCTAAGCTTACTCAGGAATTTTTGGTGAGGTACTTTGTGCACTTTGATTTTCAAAAAGCTTTTGACAGTGTTGACGGGATCAACACTAGATGCATGTTGACACTCTGAAGGGTTAGTCAGACAGGACTTACCCTTTGCTGAAGCCATGCCAGCATTTGCTTTGCATGCAGAAGGTCCCAGATACAATTTGACATCTCCAGGTAGTACTGGGAAAGACTCCTATCTGAAATCCTGGAGAGTTTCTGCCAGTCAGTTGGCTCCCATTTCACTCCACTTCTCTAACCAGCAAGAGCAACAGATGATGGTTGCCTGGCTTAGGTTTATATCTGAACTGGAGCTCGTGATTTATTTTTCTTCAAACTGCATGCCCTCCAACATTCCTCCAATGAAAATAGAAATGTCCCCTCCAGCATTTCTCCAATGAAAATAGGGACATCCTAAGGAAAAGTGGGGCATTCTGGGATCAAATCAGAAACCGGGATGGCTTTTGTAAATTCAGGACTGTCCCTGCAAGGTAGGGACACTTGGAGGCTCTGAAACTGTCATGTTAAGCAATGCTTTGTTCATCACTTACCAATCATGGTTTCTTTGGGTGAAACTACAGTAATTGGGATAGATGTGACACTATGCTGTAGATCATGGTTTGTTGCTTCCACTGACGAGGGAAGGAGCAAAGTGGAAGCAATCTCCACATTCATGGTAAACCATTAACTGTGACTTGCCAAGAGGTGCTGGGAC